TGTGAATAGTTTATTTACCAAGAGATACTTTGGAACACAATCTTTATAAGTTACCTAAATAGTAAAAGTACCTTTTGAATGAGTGGCATAAAAAAATTGAAGAAAAAGTTAAAAATTGATCATCTGTTACAAAAAATGGTAGAAGGTACTTAAGTGTTTTTTGGAATTTTTCTTAAACTCCTTAGGAAGAAAAAATTAAAATTGATCATCAATTAAGAGACATTATAGAGGGTCTCCGAGCATTTTTGGAATTTTTCTTCAGTTGGCTGAGGAGGGGTCTACACAAGCTCAAAACGTGTATAAAAACAAAATAGGTACATGTATAAACTAAAAATTGAATAAATTTAAAATGAAGATTGCCTTGTGTTATGTGTGTGAACTATATGATGCTCAAAAACAACAAGAATATCTTCTATTTCACAATTTACTGGATTTATAATCCTCTGTATTATGAGTTGACACCTTGCAATAAAAATTCTCTATTATTATCCTACTCTAAAATCTGAATCTATTTTCTATTTAATGAAAAAAAATATTATTAATTTGACTATTATTTCCCTTTTTCTGCTATGCGGTCGTATCTCGAGGACTTTCTGATCACTTTAAGTTTCAAGACGGGATAATTTGAACAACTGACACAGGGATTCGGCTTTGGTATGGGTTAAGCTGTTCGGCCAGGGAATAACACCTGTAGTGGATTACAGGATCCTGCTAACTGATATCTACTGTGACAGGCAGTCGGCAGAGCCACTCCTCAGCATAGGGCCAACTTCTGCTATGCTTTGGGGGAGTGGTGCTTAAAGACCTGACAATGCATTGGATGGACATATATGGTCCTGGAGAACTAGAAAGGAAAGAATGTCTCCTAGTAGGGATGATGGGGTATCCCAAGCCAAGCAACCAGCCGAACTGGGGTGACCTTGGGTAAACGGCCAATTAAATGGGTAGCTGTCCTGGCAGCAAGCTGAACCACTTGTGGGGAGGCTCTTAAATGCATACCCCGATTCCTGAACAGATTCGGAGTGCCCGTGAAAGGATATTATCACCTCAACCTTTTCTCTCTTTTTACTTTTTTAATGGTTATGGAAACAAATACAGTGGTACCTCAGGATACGAAATTAATCCGTTCCGAAACTGAGATCGTATCATGAAAATGTCGTAAGGTGGATCATCTTTTCCCATACGATTACATGTAAAACCAAATAATTCGTTCCAACGCGAAAAACATACTCAAATTAAAGCCAAGTAATACATTTCAAAAAATAACTGTAGTAAGAAAAACAAATGAAAAATGCGAACTAATGTAACGTCGTATGGTGAGTTTTTGTTCGTATCGTGGAGCAAAAATATGTTCGAATTTCATGTCGTATCCTGAAAATTTCGTATGCTGGGGTGTTCGTAACCTGAGGTACCACTGTATAAGCAAATGTGTTAAAAGTATACCGAGTGCAATTGATGCATGCAAAGAACTGGCTAATTCCAACCTCAAAATGATTGAACACCCAGAGAGAGAGAGAGAGAGAGAGGCAGAAGAAGGTTCTGACAACATCAAATTGCTGGAAAGATGGGTATTGTGAAAACACAAGCTTGCCAATGAGCCAAAATAAGAGCCCAAGAGTGCCAGGCCTGATGCCATTATGGTATCAATACCTCTGCAGTCTGGAAGTTCTGATTCAGACTCGAACCCTGAGGTATTCAATGCTTCCTCCTCTAGTGAAGAGAGAGGCTGGAAGGCTGCTCAGCCACCAGGCAGAGAAAAAAGTGGCAGGTAGCTAAAGCCAAAGTGGGGAAACTGAGCAATGTTGAGCCAAACAGGGAACCCGCTAAGGCTGCAGTGGTCATGGCAGAAGGGAAACCTCCTGCCAAAAGCAAGGGTGGGACCAGAAAGAAAAAGATCCCTACCTCAGTGGCAGCCGTTGAAACACAGTCGTCAGCGCCTGTGGTGACACAAGAGAGACTAGAGATGGCTGATAATAGGCAGGCTGCACTCAACGGCATTCACGATGAGCTGATGAAGCTCCTCACGAGGCAGGATGCCAGGTGCTAAAAGGCCAAACGTGCAGTTATATATAACCTGTTTAGTAAAAGGTAACTGCCATTTTAAATGCCCAGGAGGTTGAGATGGCCTCCCTCTGGGCAGAGAATAGAACACTTAGAGAGTTAGTAAGTGGTCAACAGTCACCCAAACCTCCCACCAACGCTGGCAAGGTAGCTTCTGCGAGTTGTGCATCCTACACAGCCATCACAGCCTGACTGGCCTCAAAGCAACTCCAAGAGGGGCCATGGGCTGCTGCCAAGCCAAAAAGGATACTGACCACAGAACACATGCTCCTGGTTTATCCTAATGACAAAACGATGAGTAGCAACTGCACATGGGAGCTACTAAAGAAGAACATTAACCCAAAGAAGTTTGGCATTGGGATAAAAAATGTTCGTAAGGTCCCGGCATCCCGGTAGAGATAACAAAGCACCAGGATGTAATGAAACTGACTAAGGGAATTGATGGAAGTGCTGAGAGAGGCGGTCACATGATGACTGCCCAAAGACTGAGGGTCATATTATTCGATGTCAGTCCAGACATCAAACAGAATGGTCTCGTGAAGACAATGTTGGCCCAGAACAGCTTAGAGGTAGAGCCCAGGAAACTCCAACCTCATTTCCCTATGAAGGGAAAGGGAGACCTCATCAATTGGGTTCTAGAGGCCTCCCCAAAAATCTACCATGCTCACCTGAAAATGGGGAGGCTCCACGTTAGGTGGACCTAAACCAGGTGAGGGAACAATTGGTTATCACCTGGTGCTATAGATGGTACGGATTCAATCACGTGGCAAAGAGCTGTTTGGCAGTGGCTCAGGGGGCCTATTCTGAGTAGTATTATTAAGCTAATGAATACAATAAAAACCAGTTTCTATCGGGACCACGTGATTCATGTTTAATCAACTGTGAAAATGCTATTCCAAGCTGTACGTTTCGTTTTTGGTCCCGATAGCCACACGCAATAACTAAGCCTTTGTTATCGATCACCCTCAAGCTGCCGTTAGGAATGTAATGAAAGTGTGAACAAAACGGTGTCTTTTGGTGTAAGAATGATTTTACTTCACAAGCAAATAGAGAGTTAATAAACTATGTTGTTGTATTGCTTAAAAATAAATACCTTAACTATTTATGAATATTGTATTTATGAATAATGTAATTGCTTTCTTGTTAAAATTTAAAGTAAGTAGCTATAGCACAAACATTATTTCTGAAATAGGTTTCATTCACATATGTATAAATTAAAATGATAGTCATATATTTATATTTTAAGTTCTCAGTTACTTTTCGCCATCTTTCTGGGTCTTTTTGTGAGCCGACTCCATCGGAATTTAGACGGTAAGCTATTTCTTGCCACAATTTCTGGCAATCTTTTACAGTAAAGAAAGCATCTAACTTCCCTGACATTAATTTAGGGCTGTCTTCTATAAAATTAACCAGCATCTCAAACTGACGACTCATAGTTCGCTGTCTTCGTTGGCCTTTCTTCAACATTTTAAAACAAAACTATTTCACTAGCACCGGTACACGACAATGCTAAAACCACGTGCTTCGCTTAGAAAATTGTGGGTTGTAGTCACGTGACAAAAATACAATATTAATTAAACTGTGATTGGTTAAAGCATAACAGCTATTGATAGCGTGGAACCCAGACGCATCGCGACCGACTAACCGTAGCAAAACCACTTAACGTGGAGCACAGAATAGCGATTTGTCTAAGGTTCGTTAACTGCCTTTCGCTAAGGGGACTTATCGAATGTCCCGTGTATCGCTCTCGTTGAGTTATCAAAAGAGCTCAGAATAGGTCCCCAGGTTTGTAGCAAGTGTACAGAGGGCCGCTCCTACAAGGAGTGTAAGGCCACTATGCCTAAGTGCATCAACTGCATGAAGGCAAACCAGAGGTTCGGCTTGTAGCTGGGTACTGGCCACTCTACTATGAGTGCCAGCTGCCTGTGCTATGTGTGGGAACTCAAAAGAGTTCAGGAAAGGACCGATTATGGCCAGTAATAAGGAAACTTAGCTTTTGCTGTCAATAAATCTTTATACACACAACAGAGGGACAAAAGACATGGCTGCAGGATACTGCAGTTTAATGTTGAAAAGTGCTGTGCCGCAACTGCCCAACTCAGGGTGAAAGTGGCTGAGCGGGAAATTGACATCGTCCTGCTCCAAGAGCCGTACTTAGTACAAGGAAAGGTTAGTGGCCTATCACTACAATGGAGCGTATTTGTCCAAGAAGGTAACGACTGTCGTGCTGCAGTTGTATTAACATGGAGGAACATTGATGTATATGCCATCCATGTCTTGTGACTCGTGGTGGCCGTAGAAATCCTCCACCCACTTGCATATGGGTCACAGTCTCCAGTTATTGCCCACCGTCATTCAATATTGGTGGCCTTCTGAGTGAACTCAAAAGGGTTGTCTTGTCCTGCGACAGAGTAGTTTTGGCTGGCGATTTCAATGCCAAACACTCGCTGTGGGCTCCCCAGTAGACGATCCGACCAGGACATGATGAAGGAAGCGGTGGACAGTTGGGGGATGCATATCCTGAATGATCAGTGTTAAGCATTGCTACCTTTTCCTCTGCCACAGGCAAGAGCTGGATAGACCTCATAATTGTTTATGGGGCTATGCTGAGACTTACCTTGCAGTGGGAAACGATCAATGCAGAAAGCTGTAGTGACCATCGCTTCATCACATTCGAGGTGATGTGCAGCTCACCAAACTGCTAAGTAGTTGCTACAAGCTAACTGTTGAAAACTGCGATCGATTTAGCAAATGCCTCGCTGAAAAGACAATCGACATAGTTACAGCAGTCTCTAAGATTGAGAGTGTTGGGGATCTGGAGGATGTTGTGGCCAACCTCACAGAAGCAATCAGAAAAGCAGGAGACTGCACACTTGTGCAATACCCACCGGTCAGTTCCATGGTGGACCCAGGAGTTGAGTGTCCTGAGGAAACGTACGATGGTGCTCCGGCGACACTTTCAACAATGTAGGGATGAAGGCTTTCAGGCAACCAGGAAACTGGAGTTCCAGAGGGCCAATGCTGAGTACAAGTACAAGTCAAACTGCCAAAAAGACCTCATGACTCAGTTTCTGTCAGCAAGTAAGTGACAAAAACCTGTTTTGCCTCCCCTACACGCTAGTGGTGGGAAAGTTGAAGCACAGCATAGTCTTGGGGTCCATCAAAAGACCTGACAGCACCCTAACCTCCACACAGGAGAAGTCGATAGAGATACTGCTCAATCGCACTATCCACGTGATGAGTGGTCTGATGACACTGAAGAACAGAGGTGGTTTCGAACAGATGCGGAGTTGCCCATTCTTGAGGCTAAGATACCCATGCTGGTTACTGACTCTGAAGTAGCCCACACATTGGCAACCTAAGGAAAGGGAAGGCACCTGATGTTGATGGGATCACAGCTGAAATGATACAAGTTCTGCAGCAGGTACAGCCAGACCTGCTCCATGTCTTATATCAGAAGTGTCTATTCCTGGGTCACTTCCCAGTTCAGCGGAAGCAGACATGTCTTGTGTTAATATAAGAGTAGGCATCCGAAGAATGAACCAAAGTCATACAGACCAATTAGCTAGCCTATTGCCAGTCCATGGAAGATTTAGATAGAATCCTGTCAGACAGAGTGTTCTATCACTTAAAGCTGAGAGGACTTTACAGCCACATCATATGGGTTCTGGCTGGACTTGTTGACCTGCCATTTATTACATCGGGTGGTCAACCTGGTTTACCGGAACTACCAGCAAGGCCTCCACATGTTGCTCGTTTCAATGGACGTCGGAGGGCATTTGACTATGTCTGGTGGCCATCCATAGTGGGTGAATCGCGGAAGGCAAACCTGCTGACCACTTGTATCTCTTACCAGGAGCTTCCTGAGAGACCATACTGTCGAGTACCTGACACTTGGTGTCTGGTATTTGACAGTACAGAGGGGTTGTCCCCAGGGGTCATGCATAGGGCTCCTCCTTCCAGACGATATCCAGCTGCAGGCCTATGCAGACAATCTGTTGCTAGTAGTTGCAGGTGTTAGCAGATGCAATATGGAAATTCATGGCAATGAAGCAATAAAATTACTCGTTCACTGGGGAGAGCTGCACAAGTTGTCCTTTAGCCCTGAGAATCGGAGGCCCTGATGGTGGCCCAGACAGGAGTACTGGCATGCCGACCAATATACCGAATCCAAGGCAACCCCATCCGAAGGGTGAATGAGTTAAAGTACCTCGGTATCATCATTGACCAGATGCGATGCTGGAAGCCTAAATCTGAGGAGTGTTCGAGAAAGAACAAACCTCATGACAGCTGCACTATTGAAACTATGATCTTAGTGGAGAAGTGATTCGAGCCATCTATAAGATGAGCATAGAACATGTTATCTGCTATGCCTGTGATGTTTGATGGAAAGATTCTGCCGGTGTCAAAATGAACAGGATGTTGCTCACAATTCAGAAACCTGCTGCCATGCGAATAACAAAAGCATACAGAACTGTGTCTATGGAGGCAGCCCTGGTCTTGGCCGGGCTGCTGCCACTGCCTCTGGTAGTCAGCCTTCTACAGAACAATAGTGGAAGGTATTGAGGCTAAGCATTGTGATCAGATGTACCCAGTCAGACTTAGATGTCAGATAGACGTACTAAAGGTCCACCCTGCCCATAGGATTTAACTTGACTGAGATGTCGGTGAACTGACAGGTAACGGTGTTGAAATATACACAGATGACTCTAAAGACAGTAACTTAGTAGGTGCTGCGTACTGCATCTTTCTGATGGAGTGCAAGTTATACTGTCAGTCAGTCAGATTAAACGAGAAGGCATCTGTGTTCCAGGTGGAACTGGTGGCCCTAGAGGAGGCATCTCAGTGGATCCTACATCTGGATCCAGAGCTGGACACGGTTTACTCAGATAGCCAGTCGTTGCTTCAGGCCCGAGCGATGGGTACCACAGAGACAAGTTGGTACAGGAAATCAAAGGTAGAGTACTGAGGGCGAGGTACTGCCAAGATGGATCCGAGACCACATCAGGATCCCAGGTAACGAGCGTGCCAATCAACTGGCCAAAGTGAGGGCCAGGGACCCATTTGTAATGAGGACGGCCGAACCCTTCACTACATATATAAAAGGTATTCTACTGCAACAATCAATGAATTACTGGCAAGAATGCTGGACTCAAAGTACAATAGATAGGTCAACCTATGCCTTTGTGCCTGAAGTTGGCCTACTCTAGTGTGTTGTGATTGGCTAACAACACAAATACAGATTGAACACGGGTGGTTTCCCCACTTCAAGTCCAAGTTCAGACAAGGAGATGGCAGCTGCTCCTGTGGGTGTCCTTGTGGCGACACGATGCACTATGTACTTGACTGTCCTCTTACTGAGGACTTGCCAAAAGGCTGGCCAAGTCGACTGGTCTAAGCCTTCTGGTGCCCACCAGTGGCCAAGCAGCCTTTGTACCGTAAACACTGGGAGTTTGGTTGTGGGTTCACGCCTCACTTAGACAGGCTGGCCACATGGAGTTTTCCTAGTTTTCTCCATGTCTGTAACACCTAAATAGGAGCCAGTTTCCCTTAAAAAGACCTGGAAGGCATCCCCTAGACAGATCGTCCAAGTGTTGTGTTGCCATAACTTAAACAAACAAACTAAGCCTTCTGAACAAGTACTTCGAACGCTAGCAGCTAGTAAAGGAAACTAAAGGAATTGATGGGAAAAGTAATAGGTCTCTTTGACCTATAAGCTCAGTGGATGCACTGGGCAGGCCCCCTTTTCTAGGGAGGGGATCCTGCTGACTGTCATTGTGAGTTAGTCTCTCCTTGGTAGAGATCTCCACGTGAGGTACATGCTGCACCAAAATGTATGTCCGTGTAAGAGAGTTGGACTTGAGAACGAGGAAGACAAGGAAGACAGGGAAGGAAAGGAAGGCAATGAAGGTTGGTAGTTCCCTGTTGGGTTATGCCAGAACCAGAGCCCGAGCATTTTACTCAGGTCCGACTTAAAAGAGTCCAAGACCCAGTAGCTGCTGGGTATCAGACCATATCTATGATTAAGACATTGTCTCTTTGTACTCTGTGGTGCCATTTGGCAGAGCAGAGGAAAATTATTTAGAGTTTGTTATATGAGGGTTGTTTTTTGCCAGATCACCATACTTTCCCTTTGTTATTACAGCCAGAAAAGTAAAAATGGCTGCCAAATCTGAAATATGTACTTTGTTAAAAAAAAACAATTTAATAAAAGTTTTGATAAATTATAATTTCAAAGGACATGAATAGTTTCTACATAAATGACAAAAAATGTCACAAATTGCTATAGTCCTCTAAGTCAGAACAAGCTAAATAATATAAAAGACACCATTGAAGATACTATAAAAAATTTTTGAATCAGCATTTGGTATTAATAATTCTCAGCCTTGGTACAATATACCAAATAAGATCAATGTCTGCATGCTTAATACAAGAAGTGACTATGAAAATTATCAAAAGGAATTGAGTATTGACTATAACGGCAATTCTAGTTTGACACTACAGGATCATGGTCCAAAAATTTATGTTTATTTTTATCTGCAAGATCAGTTCAACCATTCATGTAAAACACAAACTGGAGCATGCTTTGACTATCATTAATTCTTATTATGGTTTGGGTGATATTTTATCTAAAGCTATGCATGAAGGAAAAAACTATATGGAAAGCAGCATATTAAGCATATTATGAGAATAGCAATGATCATAAAGATATTGCAGCTCTTTCTGCAATACAAAGACCTAAAACCAGATGAGATACTGCATAATAATAGTTAAAAAACTGGAAGAGGACATTATCATTCAGATGCTGAACAAGTGATAAAATTTCTTGAAGATAAACATCCAGATATGCTTGATAGAAAGTCTTTCTGTACAACGTACAAATAGGTCTCAAGATAATAAATTAGTTGAGAATTGAAATTAGTAACAAACTTAAATCACAGAAGAAGGTATTATCTGTAAGGCCAATGGTTTTTAATAAATTGAATAGTCCTGGACAAGTGAATCTAATTGACATGCAAACAAATTATAACAGACATTTAAAATTAATCACAATGTTTTGCAGATAACCTGCAAGTTATTTGTAATTTGAAAAGAGTGTGTGGTAATATTCCAATTTTAAATTCTAATCATGAGTTAAAACAAAAGACCCCCTCAACAGTCTATACAAATTAAAATGTTTAAAATAAATGAAACTTGTGACAAAATCCTGTTTAAAAAGTTAACATTTTAAACAAAATTAAACAGAAATTAACATCAATTGTTAGGACTGAATAGAGGGGAAAAAGAAAAAACTGTTGGCTTTGGTAGAAAAAAATTACTTTATATTAATTATTATAGTTAGCCAAACTATAGTCCAAATAATACAATTAACTTTTTAATTAAGCCTTTAAGCTTTCTAGCTCATCCAGATTTTTGAATCTTCAAATTATTTGTTGTTTCAGTTTAACAAAGTTTAAACATTAGTAAACTTTAAAAAAACTTTAACAAAGCTTTTTAAGGTTTAAAATACTAGTAATTTTTGAGAGACAATGTGTGCATTTATGTGCATTTGATAATATTTTATTTGTGATTAAACAAAATAAAATTAGAATTGTGTTAATAAATCTAATTTTCTTTATTTTGATCTTTAAAGTCACATCTTGTTTTATACATGAGTAAATATGGTATATCATAGCCAGTCTCATTGTAGTTGTTGACAGAACAAATCAAGATATCCAAAATATGTTCATGACATGGATGGCTGATGAAAACTGTAATCAGTGACCCGAAAGACTTAAGATTTGTTTAAAAAGAATAAAAAAACACTGTCTTTCAGCATTAACTTACTTTAATTCAAACATAAATAGGCACGAAATTATTTGGTTTCTTGAAATTAAACAGATTGTAGTGGCAACACTAATGATGCAGAGAAAAAAGAGAGAGGGAGGCACCACTAGAGAAGAATCTACTTGCCACAGGGTAAATAGACTCTTTGGACCCTGCAGTAAGTATACTGTGTCTGTAAATTTTTACATGAACAATAAATCACATACGTGCATTGGACATTTGAGTCTATTTCTCATTTGAAAAAACCAAATATTTTCAACATTGCATTAATGTCATCATCAGGCAGAACAGAATGTATTTGGAATATAAACAAAATTTGACTTGATACATTAACATATTCGAAAAAGGAGTCCTTAACAATTTTTGAACAAATTTACGAAGTTTTTAGATCAGAGTGTCCCTGCATTGGGAAGAAGCCAAAATTCTAAGAACAGTATTAGATTTACAAAAAATAAGAATAATTGAAGCCCTTTGACATCTGTAAAGAAGCAAGTCAACAGCTTCTGCATTAAGAACAGAGAAAGCATGCATATATATACAGTGGAACCTCGGTATACAACCTTAATCCATTCCTGCTGTTTGGATGTTTGGACTTATACCGAATAGGACATATACCAAACCAACCTTTCCCATAAGAAGTAATGTAAAAATGATTAATCCATTCTTATGTAAAAAAAAAAAGCTGGCTTTNATGTAAAAAAAAAAAAAAAAAAAAAAAAAAGGCTGGCTTTAAACACCGCGCTTTCCTGGCTAGTTCCTGCTTGATTTTTCATGAGATCAGCACGTATCTTTTTAGCTTTCTCGTACATAATTGCTTCTGTTACGCTGTCACCAGCACACTGTTTTTCAGTTATCCAAAGCAAAAGCAATTTCTCAACATGATCTAATGTCTTCGAGCTCTGTTCAGAAATTGATTTAACCTCTTTCGCAATGTTAGCAGATTTAATGTCTTTATTTTTCACGATTGTCGATATAATCATTCTCAGAATATGGTATGCAATAGTTAAATCTCAAACACGCATGCCACCTTCGTATTTCTCAACAATCTCTTTTATCAGTTCCATTGTGATTTTAGTCATTTTTTTAGTTTTCTGCTGCTTTTCATTTGCCTTTTTGCAATTCATGATTAATAAAAATAATAAAATTTTACTTACAAACTAAAATCAGAAAAAATTTAACAGTTTAACAAAGTTATAAACTGTGGCACCATGAACGTCTAGTCTGGTCTAGTACACCAATAGTGCTACTTGTTCATAGATGGTACGTATAATTGAATTAAGTCGTATACCGAGCAAAATTTGTTTCGTCCAAACAGGACATATTCTAAAGCAGACGTATACCGAGGTACCACTGTATATATATTGCAAGCATGGCAAATGTTACTCTCTAAATGTACTTATAACAAATTTTTTTTCATTAACCATCCCATCCACTTCCATGTGATTAATATTTGTTATAAGTTATTTTATATCATCATCGAAATGTAGTTTTATTTTATTAAATTGATAAATATTGAATTACAATGTAAGAAACGTAAATAACGTCAAGAAATCTTCAAATTATTCCATTTGAAGCTCAACATAACTCTTTCGTATATGAACAGTTTATAACCTGAGGCAGGCCTGTAAATCAAGCCGAAAACATTTGTTTGAAGTATAAAGGACTGCTGGAAATGTATGAAACTGTGTTTATTAAATTTAAGGTAAATATTGAGTTGATCAAACACAATGGCTGCATTAAGCAGACTCAACAGTTCCAGAGCTGTTAAGTATTTTTCTGTTGAACATCCTCTACAATAGCACTGTTTTGACATCACATTTAGTAGCTAAATCAGAACTGTCTTGCAAATATAAATAAATTCACACAACAATAACCTTGAAACAGCAAAAAAATGAATTATTTACTTCATTTGATTCAATGGATGGGTTCATTTTTTAAAAGATTTTTTATGTATTTATTTAATTTTAATGTTTCTTTGTATTAATTGATTTAGTTTTTATGCATTTGTTTAGTTTATTTGGTTAAAGTATACCTAGGTAACCCCTAACACATTGCTTCCAGTAATCTCGATAAAGGAGCTTTATGGAAAAAAAGTAGAGGGCATCTTTATTAACTTCACTTCATTATTAT